ACGAACTTATCACCGAGCTTGAGAAACTCTGTGACGTCTTTTGGTTTGTTAGTGACCACGTGCCACTTGAATTCTTTATGGGTGATTCCTCTCTTTACAGCTGTAAGTCTCACAGCAGGGTCTAGATCGGGAATCTGCAAGCACGCATCGTTGAAACGCTTGATGTAATTCCAGATGGATTCTCCCTCTCTTTGGACTATTCCAAGTAGGATTTCCTAGGACCTCGAGTACCTCTTACTAGTAATGAAGTGCGAGGTTTATATACCATGTGTGAGCTACCCCCTTAAAAGTTGTGGAGAAAGCAACGCACATGCAGGATTCATCTGCTCTGGCCAGGTGCATTTGAGATTGAAATGAATCTATATGGTCGTTTGAATCGAACGACCCATCATACTTGTTTAAGGGAGGTACCTTGAAATTACACCTGTTCATGGGTCGGGTCGGGCCGGGCTCATGCTGAGCTTTTATTATGTATTAACAAATTTTTCTAAGGCCCGAGCCCGTGCCCACCCCGACCATCGGGCCTATAACTTGGGCCCGAGCCCGGCCCTCATAAAAAGCCTGAAGCCCGGGCCCGAAATTTAGCCTATACTATTACTATTATTAATGTTGAAGCGGCTGAATAGAGAGAGAGATTGAAATTATAAAGAAAAGAATATATATATATATATATATTAATAAATATTATATTATTTATATAATATATAAAATACATATTGTATATTTTATAAAATATATAATACTGAGTCGGGCCTGGTCGGGCTTTTTTGACAAATCCCGAGCCCGACCCGAAACACAGTCGAGCTTACTGTGTTAGGCCCGAGGTCAGGCCTGCATGCCTAATTATATGACCAAGCCCGACTGGGGTGCAGAGCGGGCCGGGCCGTCGGGCTACCCGGCCCATGAACAAGTCTACTTGAAATCCTTTGACATCGGGGTGGCCAAGAGTTCGGGATATAGAGGAGAAGGCACAAACAGGAGCAGAGTGGTCTTCACGGTCCTCGAGCTTGCCTCTTCTTTTTCGTTAGGCAGTTCGGGGGAGGTTTGGACTATTGCTCGACAAGCTCTGCGGCGTCGCCTTTGCTGCCTCTTTACCGGTTCCGCGTTAGTGCTACTTGCCTCAGTATTATCAGGTACCGTTCTCACTCGCAACTGTTCGGACTGCTGACGACGACCGCTGTGGACTGAAGGGCCTTGTCTAGAATCCGCGGCCAGAGCCCCAAACCGGTTCTCCGCGAGTGGGACTTCGAATTGCGAAGGCCGAGGTGAAGCGAGCCTGGTGGGTTGGGTGTTTCCTGACCTATCTACTTGCTACGAGGTGGGAGGAGTAATCTGTCTCTCCCTCCTACCATGGGACGAGGCTTGACTCCCCAGAAGATTCCGGATTTGCGGTGTCTCTCCCTGGCGTGGAGGGCATTCGCTACGGCGGCAAGGCTTGGTTTGCTGCATAGACGAATGCCGAGGTGGAACAGGCTGTTGAGTCTACTAATAAAGCGGCAATGGGGGAAACTGTTGTTGGCACTGCTACTGATAGACATGGTGGAGGACTTGCTGCTGGTACAATTGGAATTGTTGGACCTGCTGCATTTGGGCCTGCATGGCTCGCATGCAGTGCACCAGGTCGTCGAGTTGATTCTGTCCGACCACCGGGGGAATGACAGAGGGCTCTGCGAAGGTCGTACCTACTGTAGAAGGGAGTGGTGTGTTCACCAGTGCAATGACTTGGGGCACGTTCAGTGTGGGGACCCC